AAAAAAAAAAAAAAAAAAAAATTATTTTTGTATTATGAACGATTTTAATTAATTATGATACTTTGCTGTTATTTTTTTTTTTCCTTCAAACAATATTAGGGATTGAAGAATTCATGACGGATATGAACAAACAGAAGGTGATAGTGAAGGGCCGAATAAATGCAGATAAAGTGTTGAAGAAACTAAAGAAGAAAACTGGAAAGAGAGTTGAAATGCTGACTAAAAAAGAAGACAATAAGAAGGGTGAAGAGAAAGAAGGAGATTTGTCATCATTGGAAGCAATTAGTCCAAGACAAGTTGCAGATACTTTGATTCTTGAATTTACTGGAGATAGTATGTTATATACCATGTTTAGCGATGAGAATGCAAATGCATGTTCTATTATGTAAAGCTATCTTTTTGGACACGAACTAATTTTTCATCTGAGCATTATCAAGGTTATATGGTCCCTTAATTCTGCCCAAAAGGTTGTCATCACAATTAACATCACTATAGTACGTAGAAAAACAATGTGTTAAGTTGCATGCTTAACCTAACTTTCTCCAAAGTTTTATTTTTTTCTCAATCTGTACCCACATTAGGACTCCAACAAATTCGAATTCTGGTCTTGTTAGGCCTATTAAAGAGGAAGTGCTCCTCTCAAGTATTTTGTTGAAGTTTGTATCACTCGGTACTCGGTAGGTTTAGAACTGTGTGAAGTTTTTGTAATCCAACTTGTGCAACTGAATCGGAAATCACTTTTCAATTGATTGTATTTACAATTTGGTTATTTTTTTTTTCAATATACTGCCTAGATCTTTTTTACATTTTAGTAATACAGTTCCAGGCTATAATTTTTACATGCATGCTCCTTTTTTAGAATTTTTACCGAGGCAACTAGTTCATTAAAAGGAGTTATAATCATTTGGACGAGGGCCAAGTTGGTATAGAAAAATATGGAGTCACAGAAAAATGCTACAATATCCTTCATTTGTTTTTTACCCTTATGGTGGTACGTTACAAATGTGAGAGATCATCCCGTTAAAAGTACTACTCTATTCAACTTTTACGAATTTTAAAATTCTTAATGTATTAAACTTTGACAGTAATTTTTATTAACGATGTATATAACTTACCCTCTATAATCATATATAGGAACAACCTCGAAAGCAGTTATCAGAATATTTACAGGCATAGTACGTAGGTCTTACAGAACCATCTACATAAATTAGGACGCCCCTTTGCAATGATTAATGCTGAAAACTTGCTAGTAAACTAATTACAGCAATATATATTACAACATAGAAAAGGGAAAAAATGAACAGAAACTAAATGTACACGCCACTCTCAGATTATGTCAAGGATATTACAATTTTGACCCAAAAAATTCAACGATCTATAACGCGAAAAACTCATATTTTTATTTATTGTATATAAGTACTTTGGATCAACTCCACAAACACGTGAAGAAGAAACGAAGACGAAATTATAAGACCCCTTTTTTTTTGGAATTTCTCTGGGTGAACCTTCAAAGAAATACGGCTCCTGGACTATACTAATTTAATATTCTTTTAACCTCTTGCTTACCTAAGAGATGATGCATTCATTTGTTAAATAACTGAAAGGAATTAAATTGCCTAAGAGATGATGCATTCATTTGTTGCCTAAGAGATAATATTAGTCTTTATCCAAAAAAACGGATAACAATTAAATTTGTTAGTGATTTTAAGGATATGTAGATTAATTTAATACGAACAGTAAATATTGCTAGATTGAACAGATAAAAGATGTAATAAATTGTCAAACCACTCGAAAGCAAAGGAAAAAGATGGCTCTGGACTCGACAACAACTGCAATAAGATATCCGCCTTCGATCCCAGAGTTATAATAATGGAACACTAATCAACAAGTGTAAGAATTTTGAATAATAGAAAAATAATAGTATAATGCCTAGGTACAATTCCACAAAAGGTAAAAAACCTTCCGTTTAACCAATCACCGGATTTCCGTCGATACGTGCCGAGATCTGCGCCGTGATACCCGACCGGTCACGAATATCACGGCCCTCTGTTATTCGTGTTCGGTTGCTCGATAATGTTCTCTGAAGTTTTTTGGGATTTGGACCGATCCCGGGGTCATGACCCCGATATTCTCGAAGGCGGGCGTCGTGTCCCCTGACCCTGTCTCGATGAGACCCTTGCCTCGATTCCGGCTCCTTATCATCACGTCTCTTGCTCGATTCACCTTATCGGAAATCGGGGTGTCCCATAGGCCCGGTTTTACCCGTATACAACTAGCTTTAACTCATATTTTATATATACATTAAAAATTCACTTACATAAGTATACATAATTTATTTTTAACTCATTAATTAAATTAAATGAATTGTGGCAAAATTTCAATTCAAACTCATGAAGTTCAATTCCGTCTCTCTATATTTATTTATTTCTAGTCGACGAAATATTATACTAGTACGTTAAATAATACTCTCTATGTTTCAATTTATGTAAACATATTTTCTTTTTAGTTCGTACATAAAAGAATGACTCTTTTTTTAATTGTAAACAATTTACCTTTATTCAATGATTTATAGCCACACAAAATATATGTGAATCATTTTACACCATAAGTTTAAAAATCTTTTTTCTTTTTTTAAATTTCATGTTTAATCAAATTGATTCACATAAATTAAAACGCAGGAATCAGTAACGTGTAAACCATACCCTTGATCATCTTTGCATGGGTCTGCAAAAGACAAAGAGGTGTCACACTCTTAAGAGTCAACTTAGATGGCTAAACAGTAGTGTGAAATCATTGTAAGTCGTTTGATCGTTGTCTAATCCATCTTTCAAGAAGTTTCGAGATTTGTAGTTAATATATTGGGTGGTCGCAAGGAAGCGATTCTTGTTTGGCGGAATAAATGTGTCACGTAATCAAGCTCGAAGAGTAATTAGTTAAAAGTTAAAACTCGAAAAAGAAAAATAATAGTCTTATTTTATTACGTGAAAACGAATGGGACCTAACTTACTCTCAATCTCTTTGGCAATTCGGACCTTGTTCAATCTTATTTTTTGTTTGCTTAATTAATCCAACACTTAAATACTCAAATATAATGCTAATCGACGGGCCATTAGATCATAGTAAAAAGGTAATTCTTTATTTGCGCACATTATCATCAATAGCACATGTGATTGGTCCATTAATGAAATAATTCTTAAAATATGATATCTTTTCTGTTTCAATTTATGTGTTATATTTTTTCTTTTTAGTTGGTCCAAAAAAAATATCATACTTATTTTGATTTATAGTCGCACATGTTATTTTTAAAATTTGATGCAGTGCCAAACACAATTGAGAGGCTATTTAATTAGTATCACAACCGACAACCTTCCCTTTAATTTATAGGGATCATGAGAACCAAAAAACGTTTTTCTTTGACAGGTCTTGGCATGTGATGACAGGAACAAAATATTCGTTGGTCGGACCAAAGTTTGACTATTAATTAGCGGGAAAAAGAGTGTTAAGAAATACTTTATTGTTATAAGAAAAATCAAATTATAATGAATGTTTCTTCTTCTTTCGTGATTTTCTCAAATGCTTAATGACATATTTAATGATATATTTATATGCTTAATGATATATTCAGTGACATATTTTTCTTCACTTTTCATGCTTATATAAAAGTCATGTAATAGATAAGAAAATACACACAATTAAAGGAGAAATACTCTTCCATCTCTTTATCTTCGTTTCTTGTTCATGTTTTACTAAATTACTTTTATTTCATAACATGTTTTTGTTCATGTTTTACTAAATTACTTTTATTTCATAACACGTTAGGCATAGAGTGTGCTTTGTGTTTGCTATTCTTATACCAACAATTTTGTGGCTATCAAACAAAATAAATATGGAAGCCAATGGGTTGGATACTAATACAAGATAAGTTTTCATCTTTCTAGCTTATTCATATTTTTATTTTTATCTTTCACTAATCTCAAATTTTTTCTATTTTGCCATGATAACTCACAATAAGCTTTCATATTTCATTTTCATTTTGTTATAGCTTGAAAGTGTGCGAGCCTTGCATTGGCAAGTATAGTTTTTGCTTATTCTTTCTTGACGTCTAATATGAATTTTTAGTTATCGTTTGGCTATCCTTCAAGAGATCTATTCATGAACCAAATTAAAATGCATGAATATATATTTTGTAATTAAGTTTAGAAACAAGTACTCTCTAATCAATTCTTTAACTTATATTTAACGTGTTGAATAGTGCTTACATATATGTGGGCAGATATCACACAACTAATGTGCCCTTTACACTTTTCACACTAAGATAAATGTTACTATGATAATATTTAATGAATAGAATTAAGCTGGTACTATTCCTACATAGTTAGTTAAATGCATGCACAAATAAATATAATATTGTGGCAGGATAGTTATAAACACAATAGATATTTTGATTTACGGTCAATCTTAGCCTTTGACTATCATCTATAATCCATATATTGTGATGTGAATTGGATCACATATGTAGATACTGGAAGTACTACAGGAATTATATATATGCTTCCAAGTCCTAGTTTTTATTTTTACTTTATTGATTTGGTTTAGCGTTTACAAAATTGGTAAGTGTTCTAATATATTATCTAGTATTTATTTGAACGTACTTTTATTTGAATTCACGCAAATTTAAAAGTGATAACACTTAGAAGGACTAAAAAGTTTTCGTCCTACAACATTAAAAAATGGTTATATTTTTAAATCTTGTTATAACTAATTTTGTTTATGTTTATGACCACAAGATTGATAATTTAATCTTGTACTTTGGCCTATTATGCAACTACTTAAGACATATTTAAGTTGTGGTGCACTATAATGATAAGAGTTGGGTTCGAGTCCCAATACATTTTGCCTAACATGCCTTTATATGGGTAAAACATTAGATTTGAGTCACAGTGCACCGTATCGATGAAAGAATCATGAAGCCCATCCTACTTGATATGCTCCATTCAGTGAAGCGAATGTGGTAATAATATATGATAAGTTTGAAAGGCGACAAAATAATTTTTCATAACTGTATGAATGTACGAAGACATGGCAAGGGACGAAATAATAATGTGTCTTCACTATGGTAACTATAAATGGAGAACAATAAGGGTTCTCGATGTAATCCTTCAAAAACGTGAAAGAAATATTTACCATCAAAATAATATGAAAAAATTATAAAGTATGTCACAATAATTAAACTCTATTTTTTAAAAAGAGAATGTGACTTGTGATAAGTATTGAGAATGCAGACTCATTTCTGAAGGTGAATGTAGCAGTATGTAATAAAAGTAATGAATCAAGACATGTAATGCATGATTGGATACATACCACAACTCACCTCTAAGGGGTGCTAGAGACAAAGAAAGATAATGAATATTACTGTGTAGTTACATGAATATATCATTGGTCGCATACATGT